TAAACAATTTCTGAATAGTTTCCTGGGGAGAAGGTCTCCTAAACGTAACATTTTTACTTAGTATAATCGATGGTGTAGTGCTAAATTTTATAATGCCGAAGCCCTGCCAAAGTTTGTCAGACTTGTGACGTCACCATCAGGGTTTGGTTTGAATTTCGCGCAAAGCTACGCGAGGGCTATCTGCGCTAGCAATCCCTAATTGAGAAGTGAAAGACTAGAGGAAAGGCAGCTAGTCAACATCACCCACTGCCAACTCTTGAGCTACTCTTTTACCAACGAATAGTGAGATTGACCTTCACATTATAACGCCTCCGCGGGTGAAAGGGCGTGCATGTTTCATGAGATGGGGATTCGATTCCGCGACCCTCAGATTGCAAGTCAAGCGCCCTAACCACCATCAGGGTAAGAAATCTCATACTCAAATTCTAACTTCCATTTTCCTGAGTATAAGGGAAATATATGCAGCATTAATTATTTGAAACTACTTGCATTAATACTAAATTGAATACGCATACATTACCGATGAAAACACACAGCTAAATGTTCTTTAAATTAAGCAGCAAAGGAAAAAAAAACTGGGTACCATATAGAAATCCATAACATTAAAACAAGTTCTAAAACGCCTGTCTTGGTAATTTAATATGTATTTCACTGCATTACAGTATTAACAACTTTGGCTTGTAAAATGCTTTGCACACGAATAACTGAAAAAAAGCGACCTTATTTATATTTTATGTAAATAACAAGCCTTTTAAAAATGTGTTCGTTTTAAACATACAGTGTAATTGTAAGATGCATTTTATTAAGTGTTTTGATATCATTTCACAATATAACGCTTTGATGTCTGCTGTTGAGCCAGAGTGGTAGGACACGGGGGGGATCACAAACAACTAGAATGTTCTCTGACATTCTAAGAGTTGGGTTATAAATTGCATCTACTTTCGGGTGTAGAGTGAATAACCTACTTTTTACATGCATAGTTTTAGTTTTTTGAAGTGTGAGGACTTATTTCCAAGTTCAGATGCCGGAGCGCCCATCCGGTAGCACCATACCCCTGGTGGTTGGATATATGGTAAGTTTGTGCAAATTTAAACATACGTGAGTGTTTTTTGTTTTTGAAACCACAGTGTGGCAGCTTTACAGAACAGAGTTAGGAACATTTTAAGGTAACCATAACAACTTTATTTTAGGCTACAAAGCAACTTTCTTAATTGTAAATGTGTAAAGCTTTTCAGGTAAAGCTCTATTCAATTATCTCCAAAGCTTCACTTTTCAATCAGATAACACGATTTACAAATTTGGCCTCGGAGCTAAAGTATCACGTTATTATGAGAATTAAACTGAAACTCAGGCAAATGAGGAAACGACTTTAAAGACATACCTTCTTTTTTGTTTTTGGTAACTACTTTTATCTGTCGGTTTTATGTTGCGTTATATATAGTTTTGTTTAATTAAATATTGTTGTCTCTAAGAGTTTGGACATAAAATATATTTCTCCTCGTAAAATAATGAAATCAAAAATATAAACAATGACCAATCAACATCTACTCATGGAAGTGGACTAATATTGTACCGAAGTCGGTACTTTGTGGGTGGAGTGAAATTGTTTAGTTACTGTTAACGTACTGAAGTATGTAAGCAAATATGATACAAAAGTTGTATTCAAATAAACACGCTTTCAAAAGTTACAGGTACAAGGACAATATTTGGTAGCAGAAGACTACTGAAAAATAGGAGTGATATAAAAAAAACTGATTTTAGCAGGAAACAGTTAATATTTTATTTTTCATTTTAAGTGTAAACAAATACGTTAGTCTGGAGCTACTGGTAAGCTTAAATGACGACAGCCTTAGAAAATAAAATCGGAAAATATAAACTGAAAATATATTCTTCAGGTATAAGATCATGAAAGACAACTTTACTGTACTCGGAGGATTGACAAGGCTTACTAGAAGTGTAGGCATGACATATATATATAAGGTGCATAACTTGAATACAAGACAAGGAAGATAGCGAGGGAGCTTGTATCTGTTACACAACATGGCATGAAACTTTATACTTAGAGTAACATGTTTAACTGTTGAGTGACCACCAAATAAGATTTGACCATATTATGCAGAGAGACACATAATGAAACAATAACGAAACTCACGAAGGCAGTGAGTTGATCAAAAGAATAGTTGGAAAGGCATCGAGATGGAAAACATAAAACTAATATACAAAGTAAACTCAATAAGAGTTTTTGATGAAATTTAGTGGATCTGGTGTTAAAAGGACATTAAGGGCCCCTTGCAGAATCACGTATCTGTTTGTGAATACATAAATACCAGCTGAAGCTGTTAAAAACAGTTTAAAGAGGAATTAACTGAGAAATAATTTAAGAACATGTTGAGTGACGTGGCTGTATTTTTACGAAAATGGACAAACAAACACGCACAGTTATATATTTGTTTCTTAGATATATGAATTTTAAAAAGACTCACTTAATTTCGTCGTTTTTTTTTTTTTAGCCAAATCTTTTGGCGTATTATATCATGGCAAGGATGTTCATGCAGCTGAACTATAGTATATATATATATATATATATATATATATACTATGTACAGCCCCCCCAGTGACACTGCGGACTTACAAAGCTAGAAACCGGGCTTTGATACCCGTGGTGGGCAGAGCACAGATAGCCCTTGTGTAGCTTTGTGCATAATTAAAAACAAACAAACTACGTACAAGTAAACACATATACGCTCTTGCGTATAAACTAATCTATATCTCATTAGATGGTCTGTTCTCTTGGTTATCAGAAGCTTTTGTAAAAAATAAAATGAAACAAACGTTGTCAGGAACCGAGATGCAATTAAGACACAGCAATTCTAAGTAAACTTGCACAAATATATATTTTTACAACTTCTACAACTTTTCATTCTACATCTACATATATGTATAAATAGCATTTAGCTCATCTACCTCGTGTTTGTATCGACTCATGGCCACGCCACGCTCCTAGTAGAATAAATTTCTTCGACTTCCTACTTTTCGGCCTGACCACTGAACTTGTTTATTTGCTGCGGTCCGCTCGAGGGCGGTAGTGTCGGGAAGAAGAAGCGTAGAGGAAGCTGCTCAGGTGTGATTAGAAAGGAGGTCGTCGTAGACAGGTCCGGTTGGAATTGGATGGCTGACGGGCGGGAAGTAGGAAAGAAGGGTATGGCGGAGCCCGGAGAAAGAGGTAAGGCCCCTTAAAGCTTTGTACGATATATTTGATGGATGCACATCAGCTTCATTCCGAAGACGATAAAGTGTACTAGGAAAAGTTATACGTGGCTGTTTCCGAGAGTGACGGCCTCTCAAAATAAGATCATTAACTGTACTTGTAGTATATACGGAACAGTATGGGTTTAGCGATAGAACTTCCGCCAAGTGGCAGCACCCCGTCTTTTCCTTTCTTTCTTGGATAACCAATTAAGTTCGTAGTTTTTACTGGCAAATGTTAACTTTCTCATGTGATAAAACTGTAGAATGATATATTCACCGAATAATTTAGTGTCAAAATTGCCTGTTATGTTACACACAGCATTTTTTGGCGAAGGAAAATGTTAGTGACTAACTACAATAAGGTTAAAAAAATTGATTGTTATTGTTTATTTGTAATTATGCACAAAGCTACACAATGGGCTATCTGTACTCTGCCCAACACGGGTATCGAAACCCGGATTCTAGCGTTGTAGGTCCGCAGACATACCGCTGTGCCACGGGGGAGGGGGTAAAAATGGATCAAATCTGAAACCTTTTTGTAGATAAAATAAACCATTTGAAGTGATATTTTTTTTATTTCACTTTCGTTTTCCTGCCTGGTTCTAGTTTTTGGTGAGTATTTGTATTAACAGTAGAAAGTAAACCCGTCTGAAGTGGTATAACGTTTAACATTAAGATATAATTAACGTTCACACTTGGGAATTATTGTTGAATGGATACTGTTAATTTTTTCTAAACACGAAAAAGTGTGGGGCTAAACATTTGTAGATTATAGCGGAGTACAGCAACATGACGTATTTATATGGTATCGGTAACGTTCTCGGGTGTGTTAGCAAATCTTAAATACACACCGACATATATACTAGCACTATACGGTCTAAATATACAAAGTATTGATAGCATAACCAATGTTTAATGACTTACATACCCAGCTCTATACGGTCTAAATATACAGTATTAATAGCATAACCATTGTTTAATGACTTACATACCCAGCGCTATATGGTCTAAATATACAAAGTATTGATAGCATAACCAATGTTTAATGACTTACATACCCAGCGCTATATGGTCTAAATATACAGAGTATTGATAGCATAACCAATGTTTACTGACGTACATACCCAGCGCTATATGGTCTAACTATACAAAGTATTGATAGCGTGACCAATGTTTAATGACTTACATACCCAGCGCTATATGGTCTAACTATACAAAGTATTGATAGCGTGACCAATGTTTAATGACTTACATACCCAGCACTAAAAGCTCATACTCAATGTTGTACAGTGTTGCTAGCATGTTTAAGGTTTACTGACTTCCATATCGGCACTAGAAGCTCTAAATATACACAGTGTTGATAGCATGGCCAAAGTTTACCCGATTTACATTGTTACATACCAGCATTATACGCTCGGAATAGACACTGTTAATACCATAGTCAATATTCTTTAACAAAACTATTGTATACGAACCCGTAGAAAGTTATACTTTGTACTTGATTGTAGCTGTATGTAGATTATGTAAATACCTATCAAGACGATAGGGAATATATGCCAGTTTGAAAACTGTAGAACGTAATTAGTTTTAGCCTCGTTAATATAATAATAATAATATTGTACAAGGTTTCCCTTGCGATTTAATTAGAACTTCTATCGTGAGTATCCAACAGTACACTTGTAGCTACAGCCATCACGGTGTGTTCGCACCAGACATACGAAATGTATCACAGTCACAACGCTTGTTAAAACCAGTTCTTTTCTGTATATTGGTGAATATAAAACACTACTAATGAAAAGTTGTGTTTGTAGTTAAGGTCATGTGACATATTTGCGCATCCTGCTACAACAGATAGTATAGATTAGTATTTTGTACATCAGCAGATTTTGTGATAATTTGTAATGTTGAATTATTTTTTGTATGCATATATTAAAACCTGCTGTGTCCGAACAGTCTCAACTTAGCGGCACACTTTTTACAAACACAAGTTTAAACAGTTACACAAGTGATGACCCTAACTTTAAAATGACAAACTAGAAGATAGGCAGCTAGTCAACAGCACCCACCACCACCAATTCTTGGGACACTCTCGTGTCACCGAAAAATGGGATTTGACCGTTACTATTATAACGCGTCCAAACCACTAATCCTTGAATCCTCATATTCACAGTCCGGACACGCTAACTACTAAGTCACGCCCGATCCAGTTTCCTTTTGGGTGGAATTAAGAAAATAGTCACGTGGTGAACAGTTTGACTTTTGCTGTCACAATTTTGTATGCGTTTGAAGAAAAATATTAAACTTCGCAAAGTCTAAACCTGTTAAGACAACTATTCAGCTTGTTTTTTAAACACTGTCACCCTTACAGTGTGTTTGATGCATGCTAATTCTCCTTTGAGAGTAAACAGTTGCAAAACTATAATAGTTCAGTGCAGGCAGCACGTGCGCTATAAGGGGCACATACCTATATAGGGGGGTGGGGGGATTTTGAAAATGATGACCGAAATCATTTAACTCATATTCTTCAGTATCACATATCAGTATCCATTAATTATTAAATCATATGACAGCGTGTTATTATTATAAAACACACACAAGTATAGCTTCCCAGACTTTTATAAAAATTATTTGTATTATTATTATTAGGGCATTAGAAACCTTTGGCTCTGGGCTAACTATTATTATTATGTTTAACTTTAATTGCAGCTTATTTTAGTTTTTGATTTGTATTTGACCCTGGTCTTTTTTATATGATGCCCCCCAGTGGCACAGCGGTATGTCTGCGGACTTCCAACGCAAGAAACCGGGTTTCGACACCCGTGGTGGGCAGAGCACAGATAGACCATTGTGTAGCTTTGTGCTTAACTTCAAATAAACAAATTTTTATACGAATTTTTGAAACTGAAGGGGCACAGGATTAATCTAAAGTGGACAGGCAAGTCCCCATCCCCCATGACACCGGCCCTGGTAAGAAGCTCATTATTAGTTAATATGTCAATGCTAATAAACATATCTATTGGTAACAATATATTGAAGAGAAAAGAAGTTTTTTTTGCGTAAAATTCTTCTTGGATGGACAGGATAATTGACCAGTGTACTCAAAAGTTATGTGTATATTTAACATAGTAATATCATAGAGTATTTCTAATGTTTGCATTTTTTATACCGCCATTATTATTGTTATACTAACTTAAGTATTCTCATAGGAATCAGTACATTGGAATATGTAGTTGAGGGCTCGAAGCCAAATCTTGTATGGATTATTTGATATTCAGACATAGTATATGGGCATTGGATTCTTTGATATTCAGACATTGTATATGGGCATTGGATTCTTTGATATTCATACATCGTATATGGGCATGTACTGCTTTCAGTTTCGTCGAAGGATTTGAAAAACAAAGAAAGAGAAAAATATCTCGTGTGTTACAAAGATCATAAATTTATGTTAACATCACACTGTTGGGAGGAGTGAAAGTATAATGTTATCGATAAATATACAGCTTTCAAGATGGTTTCTGTAGGGTCATATAAACATCTGAAAGTGTGGTTGGATGTAAGGACAGCTGTTATCCAAGACAGACTGGTTTGCACTAATTACACATTTCTTTAATATATGTCGATTAAAAGGATGTAGTTGTACAAATATATATGCATGTATGGCATCATGTTTGGAGTGAATGTTCAATGTTATACATATACGAATGTGACAATTTGTACATTGTCCTTTCAAATCATATAATTGAAATCAAAATTTCCAAACCATATATATATTAATTCAGAGTTATTCGTCTATATGTGTACTCCACGTTTTAATTCTCTCATATTTTGTGACAAACAACTTTAAGGTTTTGTTTCTAAGCTCCCCATACACACACACACACAGAGATGATAAACTAAGAAGGATACTTTTATTTAAAATACAAAACAAATAACGTTTCGACCTCCTTAGGTCATCATCAAAAATTCATTCTCAACCTGTCGGTGACCTAAGAAGGTCGAAACGTTGTTATTTGTTTTGTGATTTAAAATCCGGGTTCGATACCCGTGGTGGGCAGAGCACAGATAGCCCATTGTGTAGCTTTGTGCTTAATTACAAACAAACAAACTGTACTATATATATATATACTTCAAGTGGGTTCCTCGTCATCATGTATTAAAAAGGAAACTCTTTAAAGAGACATGGGTGTCCCCAAAAATGGATGTTTAAGGAGTTTTGAAGGTTGTTAGGTTTGACTGATCTGGTTTACATTAAAATTGATATTAACATGTAAAAAGTCGATTACACTCATAATGTTTATGAATTATAGCTGAGTTTTAATTCTTTAAATGTAGCATTTTTATTAACATTTCTTCTTCCCGATTTTTGAAGTTGTTGAAAATAAATTAGTTGTCTATCATTTTGCGAAGATTGTACGTACAGTTTTGTTTTTTTTAACCTTGATATTTGCTATACTTTGATGTAACTTTCATTAATAGTATTGGTTAGAATGTTTAATATATCAAGTTTATTATTTTTAATTTGTTGTTATTAATATGCTTATATTTTAGGGATTTTTTTTTTGCATTGTCAGCATAGTATGTGTGGAAATAGGAATAGCCTAATTATCCTAAGCTGTGAGATATTATTGGGTTTATGGCAGAAAATATCATTAACAGCAAGGATACCCAATTGATGAAACAATGCATTATAATCTTTATAAGTAATAATGTAAGAAAAGTATATTTAATTAGATATACACGTTACCAACTTGATTTTTGGTTTTGATATAGGTAGCTTACTCTCATCGAAAGAATATATTAAATAGTAACCTTTTTTTTAATCCTGTTTGTCGTCCATCCTTTTTGGCTGCTCTAAAATATTTAATGGTTTGCATATTAAATTTCATTTAGAATCGGCACGATTAAAATATAAGTTCTGTAGATCTTAGATCATATTTTCCTTCGGTTTTATTGTTACAACAGGGCAAAGAT